TTTAACTTGACATTCCTAATACTGCAAAGAATTAGGAATGTTATGTTTTTGTATTCAAAATGTTTTAAATAGCAGAGATACAACCAACAAATCCTTATCTCACAAAAGCGGTTTAGTTCCTAAAAATTTTTACTCGTCTTTTCATAAATATGGCGTATAATAACTTATAGACTAGGGCTTGCCCCCACTTCTTGGATGTAAGAGGGGGCAAGCTAATTTTTGCTGGAATATCTTCAGTACAACCCACATAATAAAAGTGTAGATCCTTATTTGGAAGAATATTGAAGAGGAAAAAAGTTTTAGAATTGAATTTTGCATAATATACTGTAAGTTAAAAATGTTTTAATTTATTGCCGTTGTTGCAAAATAGCAATAATTGATAAAAAAAAAAGGCAAAAAAAATTAAGTTTTTTTGGTAGTTCTTTTTAAGTGTTAATTTTTCCGAGGGCATTCTAATTTTGGAAAAAAAAACAATATAGTATAATAAAACAACACACCAAATTTCATTAAAATCGATACGATAGTTTTCACAAAATAATTTTTTTAAAAAAATTTTGAAAAAAAAAATTTTCGAATTTTCAAAATTTTGCACAGCTTCAAATAAAGCATCTAGATACTTGAAAAGCCCCCCTCCCTCACTCTTCGTGTTTTGAGTCACTTTTCGGGCGTGCGAGCGACAGCTTTTCCGCAGATTTATCTATGTTGTCGATAACTTATGGATATTAAAACTTTTTCCAGCTTAAACTCGGAAAAACGAAGCCACTGGATCAAAGATTATTGCTAAATTGTTTATAAATTAACGGTAAACAATAACGAGAACCAATAAACAGAATTTTACTTTGAAATTATAATTTTTGAAAAAAAAAACAAATTGCAAATTGATAAATGTAATCTCTAATTGTTTAAAAATAAAAAAAGAGTGTTAACTTTAAAAATTTATTATGGCCGTCTTAATCAACCGTTTTCAATTTTTCAAAAACCATTTGAAAAGTTGAGCGGTCTTTTCTATGTGAAAAAATTTTCAAGTAGGTATCTAGATTAGGGTGGCCCAAAAAAAATATTCTTTTTTTTTCGTGTCTTGTGAAAATATGTTAAATTTTCATGTTTTAAGAGCCCCCTCAAAAAATCAGCTCTAAAAAATTTTTTAAGAAGTCACTCAAGATTTTTAATTTCTTTGGAAATTAGTCAAAAATTAAAAATTTTTTCTAGTTATTTTATCATTTTTTAGGTTAAAAAAAATCTCGATTCTGAAAATTTCAAATCGATATTTTAATTTGTAAAGGTCACTCATAACTAAAAACATTAAAAAAATTAAATTTTTGACGATTTTGGAAATTTTTAAAAATCTTGAGCGACCCCTAAAAAAATTTTTTTTGAGCTGATTTTTTGAGGGGGCTCTTAAAACATGATAAACTAACATATTTTCACAAGAGACACGAAAAAAAATTTATCGTTTTTTTTGGGCCACCCTAATCTAGATTATTCGAGGCTGTGCAAAACTGAAAATTGAAAAAAATTATTTTGCGAAAATTATCCAACCGATTTTAATGAAATTTGATGTGTTGTTTTATTACACTATGAAGTTTTTTTTACCAAAATTAGAATGCCCTCGGAGCAATTAAAACATTTAAAATGAATTATCCATAAAACTTATTTTTATATTTATATTTGCCTTTATTTCATCAATTATTGCTATTTTGCAACAACAGCAATAAATTTAAACATTTATAACTTACAGTATGTTGTGCAAAATTCAATTCTAAAACTGTTTCTTCTCTTCAATATTTTCCAAAATGCATAAGTTCCAAGATATAAGTAAAAAAAATAGGTATTTTTTAAATTTTTAAACATATTTGCAATTTTGAAAATATTCCGGACCTCGCCAGATCTAGGGATCTACATTTTTATTATGTGTGTTGTACTGAAGGTAATCCAGAAAAAAAATTGCTTGCCCCCTCTCACATCCACCTCAAAACAGATCCGCCCTGATCTAGTACATGGTTTTACCTAACCATTCAATGGACAATTTTTTTAATACCTTACTCTGTCAAATCAATAATTTTTTAAAATATTTTGATTACTTTAATGTTTTTTTAGGTTACCCTTTGGGTAATTCTACATATTTCGTGGACAAGCGGCAAAGCCGTCGAGCCGGTTAACCAAACGCCTTTAGAAGGAACACAGCAGCAGTAAGTCTCTTTGCACCGCACTGTTAACATAAATAGAACCGTGATTGCTTTTCAAGGGTCGCCCAGAAGAGGGTAGGATACGACTACCCCGCGCCTGCACCATCGGTAGAGCACGTCTACGATGTCCAGCACATAACCGAACACCACGACAATCACCACGATCACCACGACCACCACGATCACCACGATCACCACGACCATCACGATCACCACGATCCAGGCTTCTGGAAGAAGAAGGTGATCTGGAAGAAGGGATGGAAGAAGATATGGAAACCAGGAAAGAAACAGATTTGGAAGCCCCACTGGAAGAAAATCTGGAAGCCGATATGGGTCGACACCAAAAAACCAGGCTGGAAAGAAATCCAGGTCCCTGACTGGAAGAAAATCTGGAAGCCAGTATGGAAACCCATCCAGGTACCTGCCTGGAAAGAGATACAAGTACCGGATTGGAAGAAGATATGGAAACCAGTGTGGAAACCAATCCAAGTACCTGCTTGGAAGGAAATCCAAGTCCCTGACTGGAAAAAAATCTGGAAACCCGTTTGGAAGGAAATTCAAGTGCCTGCTTGGAAGGAAATCCAAGTACCAGCTTGGAAAAAGGCGTGGATACCCATATGGGTTAAAGAAGGTATCCACGGGTCTCACTACTTAGGCAAAGATCATGAAGGCGCCGAGTATATAGCTCACGACTTATGGAAAAAGAAACTAGTTTGGAAGCCCATATGGAAGAAGTACTGGAAACCAGCTAAGAAACAGGTATGGGTCGCTGACAAGAAACTCGAATGGAAAGAGGCGTGGAAACAAATCTGGAGGACTGAGAAAAAGCAAATATGGGTAGCTGATAAGAAACTAGTATGGAAAGAGGCATGGAAACAAATCTGGAGGACGGAGAAGAAACAAATCTGGGTCACCGATAAGAAATTAGAGTGGAAGGAAGCTTGGAAGCAAATCTGGAGGACCGAGAAGAAACAAATCTGGCTACCCGACAAAAAGTTAGAATGGAAAGAAGCGTGGAAACAGATCTGGGTACCAGACTGGAAAGAAATCTGGGTACCGGGGTGGAAACTGATCTGGAGACCGGTGATCATCCAGGAATGGTTCCCTACTCCAGACCATCACGATGACCACCACAAAGAACACGGCTGGGATCGTAAAGATCACCAGTTGGGTGAGAGTAAAGTGCAATATGTCACAGCAGCTCCAAATCCAAAGGAGTCTGTCCCACAGCGGCAGGCGCAACGATCTAATAACTGGTCGTTCCCATCTTCGTAGTGTTTCCTCAGTGAACCGTTAACCACGTACCTTTTGTATATATTAGCTACTAGGTAATTTTATTGCATGAAGCGTATCCTCGACTGACTCTAATGTAGTGTAGCATAACAGTTTTTGTGAACTAGAGATTGTAGTTCGAATAAGAAGTTATTTTATTTTGTTAATAATTTTGTTTTCTGTGTAAATAATTGAAAATTGTTGACTGGTAGTTTTATTTAAAACCTTATAGATAGGGAGATGCAGAGTTAAACCCAGAATCCAAATATGTTTTTGATATTTTCCTAAATGCTTTGAATTGATTTTACAAAGTTTAAAAAGATGTACATATTTTGATAAAGGATGTACAACTGGGATATTGGAAATTATCACACCTGCTCTAGTTAGAGAAATTTTGGAAAAAGTATTCCCCTTTTTTATTTTTACGAACTTTTAAAATTAGAAAAAATTCAGAAGTTTTTTGGTAAAAATTTCACTGCGAAGAAACTATTCAACTTCTTTTTTTCTTATGTTTTTTATGTTTGTGATTATTCAAAAGCCAAAAAAAATGATTTTTTCGTTCAGCATTTTGAATTCATATTTGTCTTTAAAAATCCAAAATTACTGATTTATTAACTATGTTATTATTTATGCAAATTTAAAAAATGGAGCAGCAAAGCCTGTGTAAGAAAAATTTACTTTTTGCAAAACGTAATGTCGTCGACATTTTTAACTACTTTTCAATAGATGTTCATATATTTCAAATTTATAGAACTGAGTTTGTTTATTGATTATTTATACTCCGTCTCCTATACATGTGACTCATTAGACTAAAGAAAGTATTTTCACTTTCTACAAACTGATCACCCAAAAGTGAAAAGTTGTCTAGACGACTTAACATATTCGCGGCATAAGAGATTCGACGCTTATATTCAATATCCTCGTTTCCCTTATCTGAAAATTCCTTTAATTCAATTATCGCTTTCATTGAACCTATTAAGTGTAGAGAAAGTTACCACAGGAAGTTCATCTCGTGACCATTAGTACATTAGTACAGTATATTTAATTTTTATATTAATATACCTAACTAAACAGTATATAATAGATATTAATTATCACTATAGCGACCTTTTTTTATAAATAAATCTGATTATGGGATTAGTATTACATTTTTGAAGAGGAATTACACTGATGGTGGCTTTCATGATTCGAAACGTTACTAACAATAACATAAGACTCATTTTGACACCAGAAAACATTGAAACGCGGTCTAAAAAACAAATCTAAAAAAATCTTATTGAACAAGGTACCGTAAGTGGTTTTGGTAGGTTCTTTTGATTGCCCATCCTTAGTTTTACTCCGTTAATAAAAATAAATCATAAAAAAATTTACAAGTGTTAAGTTTATTACGCATTAGTACGAAAATTCTAAAAATTTTATTACAAAATTTTTATAACAGGAAAAACATTCATACAAAAATAAATAACAACCAACGAAAAACGAAAAATAAATATTATCTGAAATAAATATCTTATCTAACAAACAATTAGCTACGTTATCACTTGTTCAGAGTTGACAGGAGGGCATACAACGTACAATTGTATACAGTAATACTGCCCAGTATGTTGAGACTTGGAGCAACTCTGTCTAATGTGGCGGTGGTGGACTTGGGATAGGGATCCATTCTCTGACGTCCACAGGCGTCCATATTTTTCGCCACACCGGCACATATATCTGAAATAATCAATGATATTGATCACCTTTGATTTTTAGAAGGAAACAAAAAGAATATAATTGAATGACACAACACTACTACAAATAAAATGCAGTCGGATAGTTTATTTCGAAAATTCACCACACTTTCCATTCGGGACCACGTGCTCCCGTACGACGATGCTGAGGGAAAATCAAGTGCCCAATGCTGTTGGACAGTCTAATGATCTAGTTCCGCAACAGCTCGAACTATCTTCCTGATTGGATAAGCCCAATCTGCCTGTTCCGATATGTTTTTCTTAGAATTTTAAGTGCTTATGAACTGAGACAAGTATTGTTTCCAGTGAGTCAAGTCAAATGACGAACGTTACAATCATTAGAACAAAAAAATCACCAAATTTGCCAGTAAAATGTGGATAAACTGTAAGAACTACCTCTTACCTTTCTTATGTGCCACTCTTTGACCCATTGTGCTTTCCATTCTACGTTACTTTTCCAGATTCCACCAATGCCTTCTCCTTGTCTAACTGAAATAATACTTCAACGAAATTAATATAGTTATATACATTTCGAAATGTAGGTAGCCATTATTTTAGAAGCTACTTAAATAATGATCGTTCAAAATAAATGACAGCGTTTACTTTGATTTATTATATTGGAATGTATGATTACAAACATTTCTTCAGATTAAGTAGGTATAAAGATATGTTAAGAACGATTTATAGTAGATATACAACAAACCATTTTGTAGTTGTGTGTTACTTACTTTTTTGGTAAATAGCTACACCAAATAGTTCCAAAGAAAACAGCCAGGAATATTAACACCTAAAAAAGTATTCAGTTCTTTTTACATGCACTGTCTCACAATATAATAGATACACTCACACAAATTTTCATTTTATGCAAAATCTCGGTATACGAACACCATACGATTGCACCTGCAACTCAACAGAATAAGAATAAATGCAGCAAGTCCATAGGTGGTAGTAGAATTTATACCACGGCATGTTTGTCAAATCTACATATCGCAGAAAGTGATACAATTGTTTCGAATTTAGGTCGCGGGCCGAAAAAGTCTCATCTCATCAAAATTATTATCATGGCATTGAAAGCTTTCATGGTCATTATTATAAAACTTATAGCGCGCATTATATTTAAATAGATAAACCCGCTCGGAATACCAATTGCGATGTAGAAACCAGCTTTATCCTAAATTTGTGCTTTTCCCGAGAAATAGAAACTTAATCTGCATGGAATTTACTTTCATTTGTTTCGATAACTGATGAATATCGTACAATACCTACTTTAACATAATTTTACACAATGTTAAAATTTTTTAAAAAGTATGACTAATAATAAATTCATCGATAGCTTTGTTCCTAGAGCAATCCGAAACAGTTTCCAACAATTTAGACGCATGCGCATTCCAATATAATCCATACATAAAGTTCAAAATTCATTGTTTCCATTGTTGAAACTCTTCCTAATGCTAATCTTTAACAACAAAGCTAATCTTTATACCAGAACAGAACATAGAACACAGTCGAATCAGGTGTTCGATTCCAAGTTGGAGGAAACATTATTACATAACCTCATTTATCTTAATCTAGAAATAGAACTCGTCAATTCTGTGTATTTTTGTCCTTTGTATTTTCTTGTTTTGTGAGAGAAATATTATAATTTGCCTTATTTATTTATTAATTATTTAAATTAGAGAATGAATATTATTCATTGGTAAACATTAATTGGGGTGAAATATATGAAGCTCTAAAAAGCAGTTCCAGCTTGTGGACAATTAATTGTCTTACAGTACAGAAATGCTTGTGGAGATGCTGACTTTCTTGTGCTGTCTAAATTTGCTGTATAGTTTTTAAATTTACCTTGGAGCATACCTATACTACTGCTACTGGGAGATAGCTTTGCCGGATTCAAACTACAAAATTTGTATTTATTAAATACAATCTTTTTGAAATTTACGAAAATGTGTTTCGTGAACAGTGTTAATTGTTCATAACAGATGTTCTGAAAAGCTGCATAAAATATACAGAGTTCTACGTAGTGTTATCTGAAATATCCAGGTTAGAATTTTGAAATAATTTTTTCTCAAAAACTAGGTTCGACCGTACAAAAAAAACTGCAGTTTCGTGTTCAGCACCATCGAAAATAGAGGGATAGACAAAATTTTGTGAAAATTGGAGGTGGTGCCACTAAAGTAAATAATTACCCAAGAATTTTAGATATTCTTGGGATAGAACAAAATTAAACAACATAACTCAAACTCACAAAATATTTTTGTGATTACATACGTAGGACATTATTCTGCAACAATGAATGTGTTAAATAACAGTGATTATCATTATTTATATAGCATAGAAGATTGTTAATCGCTTGGTATTTTATAAGGAAAACAGAAAATAGAAAAGTAAGTAGTCAAAATTATTGCGATAATTGCCAAAAATAAAAACCGTTTCTATTTTCCTGCTCCTTATATTTAAATTATGTGATTCTCGCAATATATTGAAATGAAATTAAAACCCGCGAATTGCTACTGCATGAACTTACCTTTCAATTCTCTTTTTCATTATCGATTATTGTTAAACGCAGATATTTATTAAGAAAATATGCAAAAAACATACATTATGTTTCGAAACGGTCAGCATTATGAGAAGAAAACGATCATTTTTTTATATTGAAAGCTGAACAGGGATTTCGGAAAAATTTTTCATGTTCTCTCACTCCATTTCTGTAAAAATATTTGAGAAATTTTATTCAATGATCAAACTATGGAGTGTATACAAGGAGTGACGTTTCCTCGTTAAAAAAAGAGCCGTTTCTTGAGTCGCGTACAGGCGGTACTGATGTAAGTCGAGTATGAAAAAGACGCGTGACGTAAGTGCAACATCGTTACTAGACTCTCCAGTACATCACCGCTACAACGTCGATTCCTTAAACTTTACTTTGGATAATAAAACGGGATCCGAATTTGTATGCGCTGCTCATGAGTCTATTAACAACCTGCCTGTTACTGGTGTTACAAATAAAATATTTCAACAAAAAACCTAGAAGACAATAAAGTGTGTGGAAGAAATGGCGGCATATTATTAACGTTCATTTCGGAACTTTGTCCAAAAAATTACACGGGCTTGGGTTAACAAATTAAACGATCCAAATGAAAATAGCTATATTTTAAGTATAATCGCCAGGTGTTTTTACACAGTCTTTACTTGGAGGTGCCTCAATGCCACCACCAACGACTTCACTATTACTACAAACGGTTTTTTCATTATTACTAATAGCGGTATCACTACTATTACTTTCTTCATCAGTACCATCGTTTTCACTAAAAGTTTGGAAATCGACTGTTACTGGAAGGAGATCGCCCCATTTCGACGACCTAGCGCAGTGGTACGTTATCCTGAAAAGAAGCAAATAAAACACTAAACATTAAAAAATCGCAAATAAAAACACTTTCTACTGGAGCTGATCGATTAAAGGAGTGTCCTGCTTTATAAAATCAAAAAAAAAACTTTTTTTCGTGATGTTCTTTAAAGGGGAAAAAGACAATTCAGCTTCGTAAACTTTCAGGTATATTTGAACTAGATTCAAAGAGTACAAAAAAAATTATAAAATATCGCGAATTTATCAGCCGATTCCTGAAATGCCTCACCACTGCTGTCTAATTGGCAGGAAAGATTCAACCTGTAATTCTTGTTTGAAATGATTTTTAATTCTCATATATTTTTCTTCTCGGTGAATCAAGAAAAAGCAGGAAAACGTGAAATTATTAATAATTTTTTCAGTTTGAAAAGAAAAACGTGTATTTAAAGCTTATTTAAAAAGACTTTTCTAATATTTTCAGTTACCTAGAAAAGAATTTAAAACTAAAGAGAATGAATAAGCTTTGGTTCGGTTGACAGTTTTTTTACTACCACTCCCGCCAATTTTCAAAAATCGAAAAAATGAAACTAGGAGAAAACTGGTCGAAGCTTTATAAAAAAAATATACTGTTTATAGGTACAAATAAATATTTTACTATTATTATTGCATGAATGGATAAATATTGCATATTGCTCGAAAATATACTTACTTTCCGTGTTTCGAAGCCGTAAATATGACTTCACTGAGGTTTCCTTTAGCCGTACACACCCGGCAAATGGTATGTTTCGATCTGACGAGGGTAGGTCTGACGATCCTCGGCCACCGGAGATCGTTTTCCCCTCGCATACCTCAAAATATTACAAAATACAAAAAGGAAATTCATCCTCGAGTCACTTACCCTTCTTAAGCACCACGTACGAATAAAGCTCGGTTTTGGACTGGGATATTTGGCCAACGGGCAACGTGAAATATCTTACTTCAAAATTACACGGCGTTCCGTCGTCCAGCAGAAATCTTGGGCATGTTTCGTCGTGGGGGCACTAAAATTGAGCGTTTACTTTCAGTAGTGCATTTCGTGAGATTAATAACTTACCGGACTGAAGACGTGACCTTTGTTCGATCCGTCTTGCACTTGAAGTATAAAGTCTCGTATTTCGTTGATAACCTGAAATCGTTACACGTTACGTACTTCTTCTTTTTTAATCGTTACTACAGAAAGTTACTTTAAAACCTGCGTTAGTCCCTTGCTCTACAATTACGAGATACCTCTCCGTCTTATTCCACAAGTTTACAAGAGTTTGGAGCCTGGCCTCGAGCGAAGGCAGTTCAAGTAACGAATAGGCACACGTTACCAAATCGTATGTTACCTGAAAAGCAAATAGTATGGCAACTTACTGATAAGTTGTTAATCTACAGTGAATGTCAGCGAAATGCTGCGGAGGCATTTCAGAACATTTTATTTTATATCGTACCTTAGAAGCGGGTAGGAACTGTCGATAAAACGTGCCTTTAGGAAGATTGCCCGTGCCTCTGCCACCTTGTAGTAATATTAGGGCTAGATCATTCATATCTCGAGATGAATCGACATTAAAATATTCAAAGATGTGATTCTTCCAATACATCTGAGCGGCCCTAAAATTGATATTAAACGTACTTCTGATTCTGATGGTGAACTGTACGTTAAAAGAGGGATAAAAATCTTACCATGATGCTGTACCGACACCAGATCCAAAATCGAAAAGGCTCTTAGGCTTAAATTCAGGATCCCTGGAAGAAATTTCACCAAATATTTTTATTAAAACTGCGTACTCGGGCGGTGCTCTAACCAGTAAATATAAAAGGGAATTATAAGCATCATAGTTAATAGGTTTCCAGTTGTAAATTTTTTCTCTTAAAATATTATTTACTTTATTTTGAACCATTTGTTGAAACCTCTTCTCGTCCTCCTCGTTTTCGATGATTATGCCTTCGAACTTTGATAAAACTTTAGCATGCATTTCTTGAGTTTTATTTTTAATTTCTTCCTTCTCCATGGGAGGCACTCTACCTTTTAAATGTCTACTTAACTTTTGGCTATTTACGTGCAGTGTTTTGATAGGATAATCTGTAAATTAAAAAAATATTTAGACCATTACAATTACCGGAAAGTACTATAAATCCTACCTTCTGTAACACATGCTATTGCTTTAACAAATTCTTCTGGAAGTGTTACCGTTTTGGGGTTCATAACACCCGGGTGTTTCCTTGGTCTAAAAACATTATCACTAATTTTGTTCAGGACATTTTCATCGGTCACGACAATTGGTCTAACCTTAACAGAGTACTAAAAAAGTGTGCAGTCAACTAACTGAAATTGAAAAATTGCTTTATTTACCTTGCAAACAAAATTTGTAAGAGACATTATTTTAAAAGATTGCATATTTAAGAGAAATCTTTACAATACTTAGGTTATGTTAACAAAAAATAGGGTTATATATGTAACCATGGACCATGTAAACTTATCTTACCGGATGTCAAAAATAATTGGTTCGTTAATTTGTCTCTTCAAACATACTCTTGTACTCGTGCCTGGTGCGGATTATGTGAGTCAAGAATAAACTATAAACAAAATTCATGGCTAATGCCATGTATTAAAGTTATCATGGTCATATTTGATAGCTGCCAAATTCTTTATTAAGTTGCACGTAAAGTAATTTTTATCCCTATCCAAATGACTGAATACCAGAACCTGCATTTTCTCGAAATGTCCCTGGTTCTGGTTGATAAGCTCAAGCCAACAGAAGCCGACGCATGCTTAAACGACCAAGCAGCGTCCCGACGTCAGTCGCCTTTTGACGTCTCGACGTGGGATCGACACAACTGGCCTCTCAAAACACATAATGGTTTTTAAATTGTTAACTAGTAGCATTTAGATCAACGCGATGAAGTTCGCAGAGCATTTATCGGCCCATATTACTCCCGAGTGGAGAAAACAGTACATAAATTATGAAGTAAGTTATTTTGGCCGACGTGTTTGAAAATATTCTATTTCAATTTGGTTTTAGGAAATGAAATCCATGCTCTACGCCGCCGTCGAACAGGCACCCTCTGCGGAGGTCGTAGAGCCTGAAATCCTCAGCAGGTATTTCGCTAAGTTCGATGAACAATTCTTCTCTTACTGTGATAAAGAGCTGGCTAAGATAAATACTTTCTATTCAGGTATGGGCTTATGTTTTAAGTAGCCCCACTAGTATCGCTGCTAGACCATTAATTTTTAATTTTATATCAGGTCACTAAGAGAGCGAAGGTAGCAATAAATTGTAAATATTGCGCAAGTTATGTCAGTGAAAATGACAAATCTTTTTATGGGTAGTTTTAAAATACGTATACGGAAAAATCATGTTAGAAGCAGTTATTTTTAAACTGGCTGCAAAATTGTCATTGCAACTTTAAACTAAAGAATTTTTATAAACATTTTAATATGTGCAGTGCCAGAATTTGTTAGATATTATAAATTTGTGACTAAATACCTAATAACTTTAGATAATCATGATTTTCCTGGAAAGGCATTTTGTTATGTCTTCTTGTAATTTCAGAAAAGTTAGCTGAAGCAACAAGAAAATACGCAAGCTTAAAAAGCGAGCTGAGCGAGACTAGGGATGTCCACTTCACTGGAAAAAGCAGATCTATCAAAAATAATATTTTACGCAAGAAGACCGTCCCTGCAAGAAAAATGCAAGAAATCAAATTGGCTTTTAGTGAATTTTACTTGAGCCTTATTCTGCTCCAAAATTATCAGAATTTGAATTTCACGGGGTTTAGAAAAATCTTAAAGAAACACGACAAGGTAAGTAAGCTTAGGCTAGAACAAGTTTTGCGGAAATACCTGTCTATTATATTGTTTTAAATAGAATCAGCAAAAATAATAAATAAAAACAGAAATAGTAACCTTACGCAAATTATCAAACTCTTTTATTTAACTTTAAGTCATAAAATGATAAAATAAAACGACCCTCAGCAAAATAAGAAGAATTTTAAACTATTAAGTTAAAGAAAAATATTTAAATGGAAGCCATAAAAACCAAACAAGTCATAAAGACTAGAGATGAGGCGAAAAGAAAGGAAAGTTAATCTATATTGGTTAAAATTGGAACAAAAAGCTAGCTACACAGAGTAAGGAACCGAAAAGTTCGACGTTTAGGGTGTCATCCTTATTAATAGACCAGGGCGGATCTTTTTTCAGGATTACCTTCAGTACAACTCGCATAATAAAAGTGTAGATCCCTAGATCTGGGCGAGGTCCGGAACATTTTCAAAATTGCAAAAATGTTATTTTAAAAAATACCTATTTTATCTGAGTTTGTTACTTATATCTTGGAACCTATGCATTTTGGAAGAATATTGAAGAGGAAATAAAGTTTTAGAACTGAATTCTTCACAATATATATCGTAAGTTAAAAATGTTTAGATTTATTGCCGATGTTGCAAAATAGCAGTAATTGCAAAATCTTTTCTTTCGGATAATTTTAATTGCTCCGAGAGCATTCTAATTTTGGTAAAAAAAACTTTAGAGTATAATAAAACGACACACTAAATTTCATTAAAATCGGTTCTATAGTTTTCGCAAAATAGTTTTTTGAAAAAAGAATTGAAAAATTTTTCGAATTTTCAAAATGTTGCACAGCCTTAAATAAAGCATCTATACTTGAACATTTTTTCACATAGAAAAGACCGCTCAACCTTTAAAATGGTTTTTGAGAAATTGAAGTGTCGCAGTGTCGACCGCATTCGACAAAAGACAGTCTCGGATAGCTCAGAGTATTGAGACATTAGCTGGTTTTTTACTTTTTCTTTAACATACCTTCGCAACGAACCAAAAAATCCACCAACATTTCCTCTTCCTCATCTTAGTTATTATTGATCCATTTCAAATCAATTTTCTTTAAATTATACTAAAGTAACCGAAATTGCGCAATCAATCAATGTTTGGATCGCATTTACGTCTGCATACAATCGTTATAAATATTTGTAGTTGCTTTCAATGGATTACGGTGCAATATGGCGGATAGAACACGTGGAAAGCTCGCATTTTTACAACAACAAAGACATTGACCGCTTGATTCGAGAGACCGAATCGACGGTCACCCAAGAACTCGAAGGCGGAGATCGGCAAAGGGCTATGAAAAGGTTAAGGGTGCCGCCCCTAGGTGAACATCAAAGCCCGTGGACAACTTTCAAAGTTGGACTTTTCTCGGGAGCCTTGATCATTCTTATAATTTCCGTAATTTTATCGGGTAAGAAAAGCTTTAATAGTTACACTCTTGTTTGCTAGGTGATAAGTAAACTTTGGATTATCATTTTTTTTAGGAGTTTTTCACAAACGACGCGATGACTGGCGCATAGTGACGAGGCTGTACAGAGGTCCATTCCTTATAGTAGAATTCCTTTTACTGTGGGGAATCAACATATACGGTTGGAGGTCATCGGGCGTCAACCACGTGCTGATCTTCGAAATGGACCCCAGGAATCACCTCTCCGAGCAACACATAATTGAAATGGGTGCTGTCTTCGGGGTGGTGTGGTGCATTTCCGTCCTATCCTTCTTGTACAGCGATCAACTAAGTATCCCAGCTTACATCAATCCGTTGGTGTTGATGATTGTCATGATGCTGTTCGTTTTAAATCCAACCAAGACGTTTAGGCACGAAGCAAGATTTTGGGCTCTTAGAGTAATGGTTTGTAATATTTAAATGATCACGATATAATAATAAAACTCAACTAATAGTCCGGGCGAATAAGGTTTTTTTTATGGGCTTAAAATTAAGTAAAAAATACTCAGACCACGATGCCTATCAACAGTTCCGTAGAGGGACTGTGTTTATCTAAAACCTAGGTCTGTTTGTTCTAGGGGAAAGCTCTTATGGCGCCATTTTTCTATGTTTCCTTCGCAGATTTCTGGGTGGCCGACCAGCTAAACAGTCTGGTGACGCTGTTCACGGACCTGCAGTATTTCGTGTGCTTCTACTTCACCAATCCGAGTTGGTCCGTTGGTGTAGGTTTGTATTCGCTGGCAGTGTCACAGGATAATATTAAAAATGCCCGTTTCGACAGATGCCAATTACTGCGTTGCCAATCACATGTGGATCAGAGCGTTCATGGCTTGCCTTCCGCCCTGGTTCAGGTTCGCGCAGTGCATGAGGAGGTACAGAGACACCAAGGAAGCTTTCCCGCACGTTGTCAACGCTTGCAAGTACGCCACCTCCTTCTTCGTGGTAGTGTTCTCGACGCTGAACAAAGTTTATGACAGTAAGCGAGTCATTTTTTCTTTTGTATTACCCTGATTTTGGCGATCTTAAAATATCACAAACAAGTAAAGTTATCGTTCAAAAGGGACATGTAGTTCCGAGCGACGTGTAAGGCTTGTACGGAATGCGATTCCATAGGCGTATCATTATAGAGAGTTATCAAGAAATTCGAGTAATAGAAGTTCCAATTATCAAGTAAAAATAACCTTAAATTCTCACTGGTAATGCTTCATAACAAGCTGAAACATTTTTGCTTTTAGCTGCTAACACAAAGGGCTTACAGTACATTTGTATGAGGGCAGTGATAACAGCCACTAACTGAAAGCAAATTCAAACAACTTGGCCAACGATGGCCAAGCTTATATGGATTTATTAAATACCTAAATATTGCAAACTCGTAGGAGTTATCAGTTCGTTTTTATATTTATAAGCAGAAAATGGTGATTAATCGACCGCAATCACGCAGCTTTAGATTAATTAGTAAGTTTAGATTTTCATTATAAGATAAAATGTCATAAGTCGCAAGCGCTAAGTGGAACACGAGGCTCATTTCCTTACGGCAAGGGATGAAGTGATTAGTTTCCCTGTAGTACTGCAACTCGAAGCATGGACTTGAAAATTACTAATTTTCTACAATTACAGAAGAGAAACGCTTATTAAATACTTTCCACGGATAGAATTTTAAGTCGGTCAATGCTGTCCGATCGGACAAGCCCTGCGCTCAGCGGTTACGACCGAACATTTGCATAACTTTAAAAATTCCCAAACACGTTTTCCTAACGCTACACTACCGATTCCTTAATATTAAAAACAATTAAATCTGTTTCATCCTGATTCTGGCAAAAACAATTTTTGTTCCTCACAACAAGACTCCCTTTTGAATTATGTTTTTTAATTTTAACCGAAACATGGTTCAGTTAAGGGAAAATGTAGTAAGCTATCGCAAGTGATGTATTGAGATTGACTGCCTGTTCCCCTCAGATCTATAGAATTAATTATAAAATATTTTCTGTAGAATTCGAAACTTTACCGGGTAATTAGAAAGAGAATAAAAGAAACAACCGCAGGCGTCTATTCTTTCAGAACAGAAAACTTTAGGTACAAATCTCTCATATCAGTTGAAGCAAAGTATATTCTGAAGATTCGCATGCTTTTTTTTACCACGAAATCTGAATCCAAATACGTGTTTGTCACGGTGTAGAACCTGTGGAAGGTAACCTCTTCTCTTATATGCAGGGTGTAAGAAGTTTCACTGCCATTACTTCAGCGTGAGATAGAGTAATTATGAATGAACAAAAAAAGTTGTATATTACAAGGGCGTAAGAATAACAGGTTTCAAAATACAGCGAATATTAATATTGGGGAGTTTCATAATAACACGACAACAACGCTACACATCTGATTCTAATGTATACCACGTGTGCACGCGGCAGACTTGTCCTACGGAAAAAATGTAAACAACTATTATTGTGAAACATTTAGTAAATTTTCCAGTTTTTAAATAAATAAAATAAAACTTTTTAACGATAATAATTATGTATCTATTGCAGGTTTTTAACATGGGGCATATGAATAACCTTTTCTTTTATGAACAGTAACTATTTCTGATGAAGATATTATAGGCCCCCAATATTTCATTTTAAATTCAATTCATATAACTATTCCTCCAGTCTACAAGAATGTTATTTTTATGTAATAGATACGTGTAGGTACTCTGGAAAATCTGTATTAACGTCGATGAAATTCAATGATCAATACCTACAGTATTTTTAATTGATAGTCATTTACCAGGTAGCCGCAATTACATGGAAAAACAATCTCGTTAAGACCTCTGGCGTATGTAGGCGTGCAACAGACCTTGACTTTGAACCCTTCCCAGGTGAAATCGATAAAGTTGCCGCAAAGTTTTTTTTTTTTACCACCTGCTACAATAAAGTACCATTGTAGAAATATAACAACAAAAGTATTAAAATAAGTTTTGATAATACTTTAAATTGAATAATTACGATAAGAATATTATTAATTACTATTAATATTAATTATATTTAATTAATTAATATTAATATTAGAATATTAACTGAATTTTAATATTTGTATTTTATAATTATACAGGATGATTCAAAAAACCGCTGACAGACTTCTAGGGTAGATAATACATGAAAAGTTAAGACGAAAAATTTTAATAAACATAAGGTCGCAAATGCCTTCTTAACGAGATACAGGGCGTTTCTGTTTCAAAAACTAATCAAAAAATGAAAACGAAAAGATGTACTTTAGTCCCTTATTATAAAGGATGTTTTTAAAAGTGGGGTTGTAATTTTACTAGTTGCCTATTTATATAAAAATGGAGCAGTATAACCAATAGTTATGAATAAAGTTTTATATTTTAAAGAAATTTTGTATTAGGTGCGTAATCATGAAAAGCTCAAGGGTTTTTAATGGCGTATTGTAATAATAATTATTATTATTATTAACGTTTTACGTCACAAAAAACGCCAAAATCAATTTGTTCGCCACTTATGGTATAGTCTTACTGAAGTCAGTTGAACATGTATAAAAACGCCTAGCAATAAAATTAATGAGTTTCATAGGCGTCCCTAAAAAAATTTTCTACTAAAGGTAAAAAATTATAATAATTTGTATATAATGTGTAGAATATAATATATATGTTACATGTTCATATGGCCAACAACATATTTTAATTATATATGTCCTCAAACAATTTTATTACATTGATGGTATATTTCGTTTTGTTCCGTTTCAAAAGGTCTCCAAAATGCCATGTTGTAATGATATTAGTAAACAAAATATCCGTCTTATTTCTCCCTTTCGCAATTGTAATATGAATGATTAATAAAAGGTGCCTATAATAAATTAAAATTACCTGAATCACACCAAATTCCGCATTACTGCACTGCACTGCTAGGCAATTCGTCAACTACTTGTCAACAACTGAGATTTATTGCCCAGTTGCCCAGTGCAGTTGTGTTATACACAGGTTACCCGCGCGCGTATTCTTCAACTTTTTTCTCCTACCCTAGACGAGAAAGAAAATCAGTTGCATATAATTTTGGTGAGTTTTATTCTTTGTTAACCAATATATTTTTAATATGCTTGAAAGACCTGTTTCGAACTCAATAGAAATCGCTGTTGTATTAAAAAAATAATGAAAAAAAATTCTTTATGGTTTCTACGTGCTATGTAACAGAGTCTACTGATGAGGTATGGCGTTTTTATTCAAAGAATTCTGTTTCTGTAAAATTAAACATTGTCAGCTATAATTCTAAAATGCCTGAACATTTCTATTTCAAATTTGCTATGCGTAGTTATCACCTTAAGACCAATGTTTGATGAACTGCTCAAAATTTTATGAGCAGCAGTGTCGTAGAGACGGGGTCAACGTGACACTTTTTTAAATATATTTTCTACGCCACTGTTAATTTTGTCAAAAGGGCACTACTTTCGTGTAAAGTGTTCAATTGTCTATCGAATTGGTCTCTTGCAAAATTTGGATTAAAGCAACCATTTTTAAGAGAAACACCTTTGTAGAAAATTTGTAAATCCAATTTTATTTTCATTCATTTTAGTTTCGCATAGTAGGCTTGTGCTATTCAAAATAAAATTAAACATCGCCTGTCACTAATGTCAATGTGTACAAGTGAGTTAAGTAAACTAGATTAAAAGCTTATTTTTGTCATTTTTACGCTTTAATTTTACGGAAACTTTGACGCCCTGTATCTCGTTAAGGTTTATTAAGACTTTTCGTCTTAATTTTTCATGTATTACTTACCCTAGAAGTCTGTCAGCGGTTTTTTTAATCACCCTGTATATATTCGTAAACGAATGGCCATGTAATTTGTTACAAGCAATATCAAGATACACATTTATTTATCTTCTGGTATTCTCATTCCTCACGGGGTCAAAAATCCCTAAGATTTACAAAAACTTCGGCGCCCTAATGCCATAAATCCCGATAATAACAGACATAACGTTTGATACACGGCCTTTTTTTCAGATGGTTCCGAAGCCGACGAAAATCCGTTTTTCTATTTATGGATATGCGCCTCGTTGATAAGTTCGTGCTACGCATACACGTGGGACATCAAGCTGGATTGGGGGCTTTTCGATGCCAAAGCTGGAGATAACAAGTTCCTCCGAGAAGAAATCGTATACTCCTCAACGGTAATCACGCGTTAATGATGCTCTAAATATTTTAGTATCCGCAATTTGCGCTTCCCGTTCGAACAGACAGAAATGTATGCGATTTTCTGATAGAAAATGGTTTGGCTGCCTGAAACATAGAATTTGCATTTGATCATTTGAAATCAGTCACAAAATTGAAGGGTAAAAGAATTTTTTCTTTGACCATCTTCCAGGAAATCAGGTAGTCCAGCGGAAAAATATTTCAGTTCCCTTTCGAAAGGTCCACGGACTTTTTTTCACAAAATGACCTTTTTGGTTTTGATATTCGGAAAATATTCTCGTTCTCATTCAATAGGAACATTTTTTTATTAAGTAAAAGTTTGTGTCTGATTGACCGTGACATTTGAAGGGTTATTTGTGCTTGAAATAGCACAAAGGGTGAATATAAAATGGAAATGCTTATCTTCAATTTTCACGTGAACGAGAACAAATACTTTTTACACGCGGGTATATTATTGCACTCACATATATTAATACTTTTTCTTTGGTATGTTTGAACCAAAACAAGTTAAAGTTACAAATCCATAAATGATAAACATTTATAAAATACTGAGTGTTGCAAGAATTGGTACATCTCTTGTATTTGAGAAGGAAATTGGATATTCTGGTTTGCTCAGTAGATCAGGGCCGATCTGTCGAAATATCTAAGTTCTTGGATGTAAGAAGGGGTAAGCTAATACCTTCAGTAGAAAAATGTTTAAAAAATTTTATAATTTAAAAAAAAATAAATAGCAAATTGATAAATGTAATCTAATTGTTTAAAAATAAAAAAAAGAGTGTCAACTTTAGAAATTTATTGTGGCCGTTCTTATCAACCGATTTCAATTTTTCAAAAACCGGTTGAAAGGTTGAGCGGTGTTTTCTATGTGAAAAAATTTTCAAGTATCTAGATGCTTTATTTGAGGCTGTGCAATATTTTGAAAATTCGAATTTTTTTTTCAAAATTTAAAAAAAAAATATTTTGCGAAAACTATGGAACCGATTTTATTGATATTTAGTGTGATGTTTTATTATACTCTAAAGTTTTTTTTGCCAAAATTAGAATGCCCTCGAAGCAATTAAAATATTTTTAAAAAATTATCCAAGAAAACTTGATTATTTTGCATTCTTTTCATCAACTATTGCTATTTTGCAACATCGGTAATAAATTTAAACATTTTTAATTTACAGTGTATTGTGCAAAATTCAATTCTAAAACTTTTCTTCCTCTTCAATATTCTTTCAAAATGTATAGGTTCCAAGATATCAGTAATAAAATAGATATTTTTTTAAATTTTTTAAACATTTTTGCAATTTTGAAAATGTTCCGGACCTCGCCCAGATCTAGGGATCTAGACTTTTATTATGTGAGTTGTGCTGAAGGTAATCCAGAAAAAAATTGCTTGCCCCCTCTCATATCCACCTTAAAACAGATCCGCCCTGATCTATAGTATCAATCCGTCAATGTCAACTGACATTTTTTGGAATTCCAATATTTTTCAACTTACTTTCAACAATTTCGCTATTCACATTACAGACAAAGCGTAATTGTAAAACTTTTTGCAGTGGTTTTATTACTTCGCCATAATTGAAGATTTCATTCTGAGATTTGGTTGGGCCTTTCTGATATCGATGACTGAGATGGGTTACGCCTTGGAAAATTCCATGGTAACAGTGTTGGCCCCTCTTGAAGTATTTCGGTAAGCTCTTAAACAATTTTATATTCCCAAAATCTAACTTTTTGGAATTGTACATTTTTACAAGTGAAATGAAAAATCTGACCTTACCTAAAATTGTCTTTTATCTAATACAAAGGGAAACTTAGCCTGACCTAACCTAAGTTAGATTAAGTCAGGTAAAGGATTTTCTTTGTACCTACAATATAACAAAGTTAGATTAGGGCAGGTTCAATTTTGTTTTGTATAAAACCTAAACTCTTTATGCTCTGATTAAATTCTAATATATCAAAAATTAGGGATGTTTGTCTGCAATTTTACTCTACAAACTCAAATTAATCACATTATTTCCTTATCTTTATGAAAACCCTAAACAGCCCTTTTATTTTCGGTAATTTGTACCTACTGTATTATTTATTATTACGATCAGAGCTTTGCTACCACCTACGGAACCCTCGAGATCCAACGGCTTAATATACTCGTACGCTGACATTTAACAAACAATATCCGTATGTTGGTTTGTTTGCCTTTCGGCACAATCAAACCGCCACACTTGACATTTGACGCAATAGAATTCTCAACGAATATAACCATTATTGTTCGGAGACACTTATAGAAATCTCTCAACTGGAGTTTCTTTATTGGAATCGACTTTTTTTTCTACCGAAGAAAATGTAGGATACAGGATGGTCCTTAATAGTATGACGGTTAATAAATTTTTGGTTTCGGAAGTTGATTTAGATTTTAATTTATGATACACAAAGAGGGACGCTTTTTTATCTAGTAATACTACTTTTATCGTAATAAAAACCATAAATCAGACCTACGACCACTAATGGTTGAAAGGCTAACTTATTTATTGTCCCAGGAGGTTCATCTGGAACTTCTTCCGCTTGGAAAACGAGCATCTGAACAACTGCGGCAAGTTCAGAGCGGTCAGGGACATATCCGTTGCTCCCCTGGACACCTCCGACCAGATGCTGATCGTGCGGATGATGGACGAAGAGGACGGCGTCATTAATCGAAGGAAAAGGAAGAACGCCAAGAAGAAAGAGGAGCAGCCGAGATTTACGCTGGGGGAGGGAGAGTCCACCGACGATATGGATTAGGGAAGGCGTCTGCTTAACGTCGTCGTGATCTATCTAATGTACCTACTTGAGTTTGTCAGATATAGAATGTACGTTTTATTTTTGTATTTGGTTAGAAATAAATGCCTAGGTCTTTCCCGTTTCAGGGTGTTGTCGTTTCATTGACCTGACATTCTGGTTTTCAGCGAAGAGAAGGATGCGATTATATTTCCCGCCAAAGGGGTAAGGTAAGTGATGTGAAGTTTTCGTTGAAGTCAATTATACAGTTAAAAATTACCTTGTTCACTTGGAAACATTGTTTTTATATGTAAAATGAGATGAGGCACATCAATTAAAGACAGAATATAGGTTTTTTAAATCCATAAATCTTAAAAATATAAACTTTATTGGTAATATTGCTGTCTACATATTTTTATAGTAGTGGTATAACGAGCAATTCGAAAATGACTGATGGTATCAAGAATATCCTTTCTCGGTACATTAAAAAAACCAATTGGTACATTAATAAATTCGCGTTTCGAATAAATAAGTTCGCCGAAACTGTTCTGTAATTTCCTAACCTCACAAAAGATTCTGTAAGTAAAAAATTACGATTTTATAAGCATTTCTCTAAGCTACATGTCTTGCAGAATTGAAAATTCTCTCCATCATTAATTATATTGCGCGCTCAGTTAGTTACATTCCTGGTAGAGTAAATATCATCTAAACTTTTTATCCCTCAAATATGGATAAGTTGAACTAAAAATAATGAAGGCATGTCCAATTTTGGAAGGTAAAAAGCAAAATTTCAAGTTAAAGCTTATTGTAGGTATGTGTTTGGAAAAGAATCTATATTGATTGGCAGATTTTCGTGGCAAATGTCAAAGGTTAAACAAACTTCGTGCTTGTTGCCGCGTTGTCATTTCTTAAGACTTGAGAATTCTAAACGAATGGCGTGACAACCAACTTGGAACTTGTTCCATCAGTGACATAGACCTGTTTGGCAAACGTAAGGTTTGAAATAAAAGGTATTTTAATTTAATTTTTTTATTTTTGACTTTCGACTGGTACCATTTTCATCCAAAATCACTCAAGTTTTCGTTACACTCCTTATAAACTTTGACAGATGGTGGCTTGATTAATTTCAATGATTTTCTCTTCTTCGAGAAGAAGGAAAGCCCGCTCCAAAAAAAGGCCATTCGTGCTATTGAAATGTATGTAACTACAAAATGAATCTTCATTTATCAAAATGATAGACCAATCAACGCGCTACATCCACGATTTTAACGAACTGATGAGCCAGCAATTAAAGCCCTAATTACGGCTCGAGAGGTGCTTTCCAAATAAACAAACAAACAACAATTATCAGACCGGGATTCGCTTATCAGCATAGCCGGTGCGAGCGCCGAAGAGGTGGCGCATGTGCGACGACGTCGCGATATTTGTAGCAGTTCGCTTCAGTCAATGAAAACCGTCAGTTAGAATAGCCGGGAAAGTCGAGCTTCGAAGTAGTGACGTACCAAGCAGCGCCCAATGGCATGCCCGGCTTGCTATTGATTGCTTGGGAAAATGGCAGATCTGTGAAAACATATGGAGTGAACCAAGCCAGAATCCGCAACATGAAATTCGCTTTTATATGTATCGCCGCCGTCATATCATGCAGTGTGTGTGCTTCTGGTGACCTGGAAATCTATCCCGGTGAGTGCCTTCCAGATTTCAAAGTTTTTCAGTTGATGTGTCGCAGCTTTTGTGCACACATGGATTTTTTGAAATACCGCCAAATAATTAGACACGTACTGACGGGATTTGAATCATTTAGTTGCGATTTCAAATTTAGTTTACGATTCAGTTTTACCTCGATGAACTCTCCTTTTTTATGTTATACAATTAACGCTTGTTTTGAATTTAGACCACAGAAAACCAAAATTATGCATGTACATAGAAAAAAAATATGGAATTTCATAATAATTATATTGTTGGTGATAGCTTATCAGCTAAGCAGCTGTAATTTCCATAACATTTAATTTACTGTCGTTTTGTAAACATGAGGCACTAAATGCAACTTCGATATGTTTAAATAAAGGTCATAAATTATTCAAACATCATCGACATGGCCAACTAAATTTGATTTTTGATTAAACAATAAGCGCTCACTTGAAGAAATATTACAATCTTACGTTAGTATCACTGAGAGAGCACCAAAAAACGATTAATAAAGAAGCATTAGCAACTACTATTTTAATTTGTGGAATTATACAATTTTCTGAGATGACCGTACCCAAATAGTATGGGAAAATATAAAATGCGTAGAATTGGTAAAGTAAAGACAAACGATTTAATGAAGAAAGAATATTCAAAGACTATATAAGACACTTTACGTCATCTTCAGTAGCTGGTTGTGACAGTCCTGTCCCGATTAAAGAAAAGGGAACAGAAGCTCAGTTAAAATTCTCGAATTATTACATCGAGAAGAATGCACTTGTCAGGATACTCCAGATTGATTTCAAAACATACATAAAAAACTTGATGGATAAAACTAGTAAAACATTCTTGTTTGATATAAAATCAAAACCAGCTTTCGGATGTCATTAAAATTTCTCCACGTTTCTTCTTCATCCGATTCTTTTAATTTGCTGTGTTTCTTAGAAAGACACTTTATCAGATTTCAATTAAATCCTTGCACGTACTTTTTCAGCTAATTAAAACTGTTTGAAACTTGAATAGTATCGTCATAAATTATATCAAAACTTTAAAGCGTATCAAAGGGAAGATCAATTTGATTAGCAACATGGTAGAAATGTAACTAGACGTACAAAGCGGAACGCGATATTTTCCAGTAAAATTCTTTTGAGAAAATAAAGTCTCTTGGTGTAAGAAACTCTAAAGTATGTAAATTTTATGTCTCCTGTAATCAACCTACAGATTTGACTACCATCAGTCACGTATTTCATTTTACAAAGCAACAAACGGAATGAGCTATTCTTTGTTGTCACATCACTATGCAAATTATTGCTTCCCATTCATACTTTTCATCGACGTTGTTCTATATGTCCAATAACAAAGTATGCTCGAGGAATTTGCGATTATTTTTTAGATTACAAACTTACTTCATGATAGGGATTTCCTCAAATTACCTTGTGATCCAGGACCCACTCTGGTTCCAACTTAATCTTAACGTAATTAAAAAAAAAGCAATGTTGGTCCCTTCTTGCCAACAATACCTTCGTTATTTATAACCTCAAGGGACAAGCCTGCTTCCCTTTTCCATTATTGGTCCCTGTAGAATAAAGTAACTGCTTTTCTTGTTAAGAGTTCATAATGAACCCTAAAATAACATTGAAACAAAATAAATGTCCTGAACATCACAATTGGAGGAATGAATTTCTCATTTAATGTGAATCAATGAAAATTATTTATTAGAGGCATTTTGTAAAGCGTTTCAATTTCTACTTTTGTCAAAATCTTCGACTTCTTTGATTTTTTAGCGAACGTCTAAGATTTTGATGATTTACTTTTCAAATATAGTTTCAATTGATACACTTCAAATACAAACGCCTCAAATGCGCTACCGCCTGGACTACAACTAGTAAATTATGAATTTAAAGAAAATAGTGCAGGCTTTGGAGAAGCAACGAGAAATATCTCTCCTTACGAAGGCAGTTCATAAAATTCCCTCATAAAACCCCCATAAAACCGCATGTGTATGTATTTACTGGCAATCTTATCCGTATTACACTAGTCTGAAAGAGCGAATCTGCTGCGATCGAAGGAAAATCCAACAATACGAACCGAAGACGTTTACATTTCACGCAACGGAGATAAAGAGAAACTTTATCACTCCTTCACTACCTTACCAGTTCGGATGTCGTCCTGCCTAATGAGAACGGCAATTTCCGCTCACGATTTTAGAAAATTGCCCTCAAAAAGTTGACAGAAGCCGTTAAGAACTTTCCACGAACGTGATCTCTAGCGGTATTCATTGCTCCGTCATTTATTAAAAGAAGAGTGTTTTATAGTCGCAGAGCATGACGGTGTAGAATGGGAATTCGGGGACGAAAATATGGCACCCGACTGCATTTTTACGCAGAGGGGTTTTCTGGCTCGATGGGCACGTAAATTGTGGAGGCGAGCTGCAGTTAAGTGTTTAATTCGTGTGGGTTCAGAAAAACAGGAGCACTGTAAATGATATTGATGATAAAATTATGTTGACGTAGATTATATGCTGACTTTAACTTTTTAATTTTTTAATAAAACACAATTTATTCGAGATAACTAGATATTAAATATCAAATTAGACATGTTACGGTTGATAATAAAAAAGAATGTGAGATAAGTGACCACCTCATGCAGTTCTACAAGCCTTCAATCTTACAGCAAAATTTTCCATCACGTGTTCACATAATAGTGGTTCAATTTGAGTCATTTAATTGGATTCTCTATCTATTTCCAATTTATTTTTGAAAAAAATGTCCACCCCCGAGAAGGGGTGTCAACCCCCAACAGGGTGGAAGCGTCAATCGGGGCTATGTCACTAATGTTCATTGACCTTTTCTCTAACTATCTGCCAAATTTCAAGTCGATCGGTTTAGTTTCAAAAAACGTGTACCTATAGATTATAATAAAATGATAAATACAGACAAAAATAGTATGATAAACCATTAAAAAGAGAGAAAATTTAAAAAACTGGACAGAGGGACAGAAGTATTTAATTAAAAGACACATATTACCTATACTATATATGTGTACGCCTATAAATCTCTTCGTGATACGAGGAGCTGCTTCATCTGCCTACGGAAAGACAAAATACTTGGTGTTCCTTTTATATTGTTAGGGATTTTGTTAAATATCTTCGCAGCGTTATACGAAAAAGAACCTTGAAGTTGAGCAGATTTGTGTTCTGGAACCAAGTACAGGTGTCGGTATCGGGTGGAACGGTTGTGTACTTCACTGCCTTTTACTAGTTTGTTGCACAGATAAACAGGAGAATTAAATGTTTCAGTTTTATAATCTATGCAAGACAAATGTAGCCCATACATTTCTTTTAAATATAACCATCTGGATTCCAAAAACTTATGTGATCAAAATTTCTTTGATGTTCGATGATATCCGCAGGTTTTCAGAGTTGCTGACGACAAATCTGGTACGCGTTGGATTATATACAGAAAACTTATCCTCTTTACAAAAAGCAAATATTTTCACAAACAAAAACGTTATAGAGCATCATAAAATAGACAGAAAATTGAAATACGCTGATCTGATTTAATCTAAAGTAAACTGTAAATCCTGAGGCATACCAGTTGTTCCAGTTCCAGTCAACTTTTTATGGATAAAGCTATCACTTATCAATGTGTGACGTAAAATATCATATTATCTTATCAATCCATGTATAATTTCATTAATGAAAGTGATACAATATAACTGACTTTTCCGTAGAAACAAGAGACTGTATGTTTAATATCGTCATTTACCATGATTGCGATATTCATGGTAAATGACTATATTAAACACGTCCAAAATTATAGATTACGCAATACTGAAAATGTATACTTGTACAGTAATTGTAATTATACAGGGTATCCGAGAAAATGTGGGAAATCTCTCGAAAAAATGTTATAGGAACTTATCATCTTACTTTTTCATGTTCTGTCTGCACCCGAGAGATTTCCCACATTTTCTCGAACACCTTGTATATACGTATTGGTTCAAAAAGTTTGAAACTCGTTAATATTTCAAAAAATGATGTTGAAAAGCATAAAATAACAGTAAAGTATAAATTATGGCATCTTAAGGTACTGGTCATAGTTTTAGACATCATCTGCAACCATGGCTCGAGATACAGAGCTAATGTTTTAAAGTTGAGCTGGCGTGATGGTTGGAATGGTAGGAACCTACTTACAAGGACAGTAAAAAGGTAGAAATTAAAAAGATAAACCCACCAACGCACACAACTCATCGTTCTTAAGGATTAGCCAGAACACCTCGAATACAAACGATGTACTTCGTTGTCTTACGGGATATAACTGGAATTGTACCTGCAAGCTCCTTCGAGACGATGAATTCGCAGTAGCTCTCCAAGGAATCAAATAATTTCAACTCTCGAGATAGCCGTTTGTAGGAGAGTTTTGTGTAATACGCGCCCTCTGCTGACCTCGATTCAGATTTGATAAATTGGGAGCATACGTTGCACTGTCGAGCAGCTGCAACCATAAAGTTTATTTCAGCTAGGTTTAAGAGCGAAGCCTCTTCTAGATTTTATTGTCACGAGCGCATGTCTCAACTCATCTCATAAATACGCGAAATGTGCGAGGAATGTGTGAGAAACCGAATATTTCTTGGAAATTAAGGAGCTGGATTAGTCGAAGACAAGAGATATAGTAAAGAAAGTATAACTGCAACAATAACAACAAATTGGATTGATGCCATTTACTGCTGACATATTTTTTATTGATCCACCTGAACAAGTCTGTCTTCTTTTATTTTATTCTTTCAAATATCTCCGCAAGGAAAATCGAATTGTGTTAAATCCGAAACAATTGAAAATCCTCTTACATTGAAAATGCTCGGTAATGATGGGATTCTCTTGCTCGAACGTTTTGAGATTAATATACCTCCAACATGAACTAACCGAAGCTAAGAAAATCTAAGTATTTTTCTTTCAGGATTATTCTATAGTATATAGCAGTCTAGTGCAAAAGTTG